TTTTCTAGACAGGGTTTCTCTGTGTAGCCCTGGCTTGTAGGCCTGGAACTTGCTCTGTAGACCAGGCTAGCCTCAAACTCACAGATATCCGCCTGCCTCTGCCTCTTGAGTACTAGGATTAAAGGCATTTTTTCCATTTTTTTTTTTCAACTTTTCACTTTTACAAGAAGAAAATCTTCTGGGGGCTGTGACTGGGACGCATTTATGCCATTTAATGGCATCTCTATTTTACTTCTCAGCAGCCTCTGTCTTCACTCAAATATAAAAATGTGTGTCGGTGTGAACCCTGCACCGTCGCAAATGTACGCTCATCCTGTAGATACTGCGGGCTTTCTCATGCAGACCATCTCATCATCTACAAACAGAGACATCGCTCTTCAGCCTCATCTGGTGCTAGATGTTCCCAGGTGACTTTTAAAGACGAGAAAGGTGCCTTCTTCTGCTGACTGGCTGAGTGTGGGAATGAATACATGCTATTTCCACTGGATGCTTTCCCTGAATCCAGCGACTGAACGCACCTTGTTGTCCACCTGCTGATAAGTCGAACTACTTTGCTACTGTGTATGAACAATAACCCAGCCCAGAGTTTTGAGATCAGTCTTACTTCCATAAAGTGCTAAATTACAAAGCTCTACAGGTGCAAATAGCTGACCTCTTCAATGTCTGTGTCTGGTTTTGACATTAGGTCCCACTGGCCTCAAATCTGAGGGAAATTTTCCTGCCCATCCCCCCTACTTTGCCATCTGAATAATCTGTATAATACTCTACAAGCAAACTCATTGAGTGTACAGATGCTAAAGCCCATTTTATTTTTTATTATTAGACAGAGCACAATTAAGTTTGTTTTATTTTGTTTTAGTTGGTTGGTTGGTTGGTTGGTTGGTTGGTTGGTTGGTTGATTAATTGGTTGGTTGGTTGGTTGGTTAATTGGTTGATTGGTAGGTTGGTTGATTAACTGGTTGGTTGGTTGGTTGAAAGAGTTGTATTTTGGCTTCTTGAGGCAAAGTCTTGCTATATCGTCCAGGCTAACCTTGAACTTTCAGAGATCTTCCTCTCTGCCTCCCAGAGGAGACTGTGCCATCAAGCCCAACAAGACTTTCTTTTCTTTGTGAAATAAATTTTGATAATAATTTCTCCCTCCCCACTTCTCCCAGATTCTCTTCCTACCTCCCTACACACCAAACTTTGTGTTCTCTCGCTCTCTCTTTCTCAGAAAAAAAGACACAAAATGAAAATCAAAACAAACAATGAAAAAAACCAATATGACTGGAAAAATGCCAAACAAAACAAAAAGTTCACAAAAAAAAGAGTTTTGTGTGGATCAACAATTTATTTTGGGGCAAGGGACCTACCTGGAGTGTAGTTGATAAACCCAGTGACACTCTGTTGGAGAGAATTGATTTTCCATTTGCCTTCAGGTATCAACTCCAACAAGCTTTTCTAATGTTTTTTGTTTTAGGTTTTTCCCAAGGAATATATCCATTTCCTCAAAGTTACTGAATCTGTTGGCATACAGTTATTCACTATATACCCCTTTGGTTCTTGCAGTGCATCTGCAGGGTGCATAACAATAACTATTCCTTAAGATTGAGAATTAATCTTCTCAAACAATCTTTGTAATTAGTTTATCATTATTGTGTGTTCATAGTGTGTGTGAGGGATATACAAGCTGTGGTATGTGTGCGGAGGTCAGAGGAATTGGTTCTTTCCGTCCACCTTTATTCGGGTTCTAGAGATCAACTTGTGCTTGCAAGGCAAGGTCCTTTGGCAAACTGTGCCGTCCTGCCAGCCCGTCTCTCTTTACTCAGTCTGAGCGTTTGTAGCTTCATTGATTTTTGCTGTGGAGGAGCAAGTTTCCAACTTTTTCTCTGATCTTTATCATCTTCATCACGTGACTACCTTGGGCCTGACTTAAGCTTTTGTTTTTCTACCTTGTTGGTTTAGATCACTAAGTTTTAGACCTTTCTCTTCTTCCTAATGGAAGATTGGAAACTAGAAATTTTCTGTTCAGCCCTGCTGTATCTGCTGCCAAGAAATTTCGGTATGTTGTATTTTCTTTGGTATTATTTAATTTCTGATTTCTTCCCTGCCCCATGAATGATTTATAAGTGTATTGTTAAGTCCACAGTGTCTGTGGTATCTTGGTTATAATATTGTTATAAATGTCTCTTCTAATTTTTATGTGGTCCTAGAATATGCTCCGCATGATCTCAAATCTTCTGAATGTTTGAGTCTTTCGTGGCATGTACCCATTGAAGGGCCCAAACACACTGAAGAATGTTATTGTTGCTACACGCAATGAAGGAGTGCTTATAGGGTACCAATGTTGTCATGGTGAAGAAGCCACACACAGGGAAGAGGGATGTGTAGATACCACAGTTGCCATGGTGAAAAGGCCACATACACAGTGAAGGAGGGTATATGAATGCCATTATTAACATGATGAACAGACCACATACAATGGAACAGGATGCCACTGTTGTCATGGTGATCATCAGTACATGCACAGTGGAAAAATGGATGCTTCCTGCAGGTGCCAGTTTTCATGGTGAACATGCCGCAGGCTCTGGAGGAGGATGCAGGGATTCCATGGTTGACAGGACACACACAGCAGAGGAGAATGTGGAGATGCCATGTTTGACATGGTGAAACACACACACACTGGGAGGAGATGTGTGAGTGCTTGGATTGCCACGGTGCAGGGGCTACATGCACTGAACAAAGATGTGAGTGCTGCTCGCCTCTGCATGAACAAGTCACACACACGTTCTGGAGAATAATGTGCAAATGTCACTGATGTCATGGTGAACAAGCTACCATCACCGGCGCTGGGTGACACTGGTGGCACTGTAGGGTGAGATGTGTTACAAGGAGCCTTGGGGTCAACTTCCTCAAATGATGTGCTAATGGCCTCTGTTTCCTCGTTGATTTTTGGCTAGTTGTTCTATCTCATGCTGAGAGAGGGGACTTGAATACCACCTATAATTTGGGAACTTCTACTTCTCCCCTCAGCCCGACAACATTCCTTCTGGTGTCTTGAACCCTCAGTTGCCTCAGCTGTGCTGCCTCCCTGGCAAATGCAAATGTCACGTCTTACCGTAGCCTGTGTTACTTCCATCTTGCCTGAGCCTGATTTCCCTCCCGCTGCTGGCCTGGCTTCCTTGGCTTACAGCAGTGGTTCTCAACCTTCCTAACGCCATGACCCTTTACCACAGTTCCCCACATAGCAAAAAATTATTTTTTTTGCTCAAAGCTGTAATTCTGCTACTAACGTAAATATCTGATATGCAACCCCTGAGGAAGGTTCATTCAACCCCAAATGCATCCCAACCCGCAGATTGAGAACCCATGACTTACAGAGGCTGAGACTCCTCCTATAGGTCCACTTCCAGCCCCACCCCATCTCCTCTACTCTATACTATCCCCAGCTGGGTCTTTCTTTTTTCTCTATTCTGACAATCTCTGCCTTGAAGTGGAATATTTAGACTGTTAAAACATAACTGGCTTTTCTCTTGGTTAGATTGTCTCCATTTTATTCTCTTTTTCTGCCTCTTTTGGGATGTTGTTTTGGTGTGGCTTCTGTTCTTCCATTCCTCCTTTTATTCCTGCTCTTGTGTTGTTATAATATTTTTATTTCAAATTAATATATTAGTTAGCTTTTCTCTCTTAGCATCTTGCAGCCTCCTCAGAGATCAAAATGCCCAATCTACTCACAATCCAAGTAAATAAAGTTGTACCACATCACATAAAACATCGAGAGATATCCGGTAACTCAAGAACCTCCTCCATCTCATCTCTTATGTCGCAAATGCCACATGCATTACTCCCCAGTGTTATTCATGAACTCACGACGTGCCAGACTTCTCTGTTTTAACACTCATCTGTATTTTGAAGAAGTTAGCGAGAAAGCAAATCTATTCTAGCTACTCTCATCTCAGCCTTCCTTGTATTCTTCCTTCCTGATGACCAGCTTCCTTCAGCGCAGCATCCCGCTACCCTGAGGACCATCATGTGACCCTCCTTCAAGTGTAATTCACCCAAGCACAAACTGTTTTTATTCCTTTCCGAGAGAGCATCTCCACTAAACCTGTTCTGTTTTGTCTGTTTTCAGACACGGTATCTCCATGTAGCACCAGCCTACTTGGGACCTACCTGCTAGGCCACCCAGGCTGTCCTCAAACTTGTGCCACACTGTCTGCTCAGGGTGTCTGTCATAGCTGCCACTTTCTCATGGGAATCCTCTCGGAGCTGTCCCCTGAGGTGGCCTCACCATGGCTCAGCATAGTGGGAAGTGCTCAGTCATGCCTGGTATGTCAGATTCGGTGTGTGCACAGGCCAGGCCTAGGACACACATGCTCAGTGGGGCTGGACTCAGATAGGAGGTATCCAGGGGGCTGAGCACTGAATCACCCTCAGTGAAGCTATCATCCGAGGCCCATGGAGGGGAGGTCAATCCATAATCAGCTGTCTCTCCGGGGATGGCTCAAAGGTGAGCAACTCTCCCAACTGCCACAGAGGGCTAGGTGAGCTAGGCTCCTCACCCTAAAACTACGTCTAACAATACACTGGCCCACTGATTGCTGGGCACTGCTGACAGGGAGGGGAGGGGTCTGAGCAGGGCTCTGGCTAAAGACAGATCCAAAGGGAATCTAGCTGGGCCACGACTCAGGATACCACTTTAGGATAGTGATGCCACACTCAACACCCTCCTTCCCCTGCGGATATACTGTATGTACCTCTTCATATCTATCCTGCTCCCAGCCCAGGCTCCACAAGGTCCCACTGAGTCTGCAGATTCACGGTGAGCCCCTGCCAGCCAGAACCAAGTGGGAGGAGAGCAGGCTCCCCTGCAGGACATGTGTTTGTCTATACCAAAGGGTGGCAAGGCCCTGGAATCCAGCCGCCTCCCTTTTGCATCAGGGAGGGGGGAGGAGAATGTCCTCATTTCTCTAGGAGACTTTGGGGCATTCCTGGAAAGTCAGCCTTCTGATCTCTGGCAGGTTCTACCTCATCAGCGGAGGGGTCCCTTTCATCATCTGTGGGGTCACAGCTGCCACAAACATCAGAAATTATGGGACCGAGGATGAGGACGTGGCATAGTGAGTACTTCCGACTTGTGAGCCCTTGAAAAGTTGGGGGCGCTGCCCAGCTCCTCCTGGGGTCATCCCAGAAACTTGAGGAATTTGTCGACTTAGCATCCAGGCCCGGGGAGGGCAGGGAAGGTGCCCCACAGACACCTGTCATAATCAACCTTTGTTAGTGACTCTCCTCCAAGGCACCTGTAAAAAGGCAAGCCCTTGAGAGGAACAGAAAGCCTGGGGCCCCAGAAGATCACTCAGGATCATGTCTCCCCAGACTCTGTGGAAGCAGAGCCCCCTTGTCCCAGTACTCTTCTCCCAACACACTCAGCGGCCCACTGACTCTATTTCCTTAGACACCAAAGGCCTGCCTTTTCTATAGCCCGGGACCAGATAATAGAAGGTCAGCCAAGCATGACACACCCCTGGAGAAAAGACAAACCCACTCCCAACCCCACAGGTGCCCAAAGCCCTAGTGGCACCTTCATCCTTCTCAGTACCTCAGGACCTCGGGACCCCAGGATGTCTGACCCTCACTCAAACCACGCTTGCCTCATGTGCTGCCCATCAGAACCTGCCTCTGCCCACTCCCTTCTTACCCAGGACAGTTTCCTGACCCTCAGCGGTCCTCCTTGCCCCATCCACCCCAGGCCTGCCCCGTCCCATCCCCACCCACCTCCTGAGGACTAGCACACAGAGTTAACCAAGCAGCTGGCTCCGAACACTCATCTAGACTGCAGCTCTGTCCCCATCAACCCAAACCTCAGGACTGACCAGTCTCCGGTGTCATCTGTTTCCTTACCACAAGTAAAATACTCCCTTGTAGGAAACCCCATTTAGTCCTGATGAGTGGGGGGACATGTGGTGGGGAGGCAAGCACTCGAGCTACATGCCACACTTACCTGCTTCTCCCTGCAGCTGCTGGATGGCCTGGGAGCCCAGCTTAGGTGCGTTCTATGGACCTGCTGCCTTCATCGCCCTGGTCACCTGTGTGTACTTCCTCTGCACCTATGTGCAACTACGGCGTCACCCAGAGCGCAGGTATGAGCTCAGAGAGCGCACCGAGGAGCAGCAGCGGCTGGCAGTGCCAGAGAGCGGCCGTCGCCATGGGATGCGTCCTGGTACGCCACCCGCCTGCGATGCCCTGGCTGCCTCACAGCTGCAGAACGAGCATTCCTTCAAAGCCCAGCTGCGTGCTGCCGCCTTCACGCTGTTCCTGTTCACAGCCACGTGGACCTTTGGGGCCCTGGCCGTGTCTCAGGGCCACTTCCTGGACATGATCTTCAGCTGTCTGTACGGCGCCTTCTGTGTGACCCTGGGACTCTTTGTCCTTATCCATCACTGCGCCAAGCGGGAGGATGTGTGGCAGTGCTGGTGGTCATGTTGCCCGTCTCGGGGAGATACCTCCACCACCAAGCCCAATGCCCACCCTGCACTCGATGCCAACGGGGATGCCCTGGGGCATACAGCCTGCCTGCAGGACTCACCGTGCCCTGGAAAACTCAGAGGCTTTGGCCATCCACCAGCCGGCCACTGCAAGATGACAAATCTGCAGGCTGCCCAGGGCCATGTCAGCTGTCTGTCACCTGCCACCCCTTGCTGCGCCAAGATGCACTGTGAACAGCTGATGGAGGAGGAGGCCCACATGCACATGGCCGGGGAGGACACCTTCCCGCACGACCCCCACCTGCACGACCCTCACCTGCACAGGTGCCTCAAGGGCAGAACTAAGCCCCACTACTTCAGCAGGCACCAGGCAGCTGCAGCTGAGAGGGAGTATGCCTACCACATCCCCTCCAGCCTGGATGGCAGCCCCCACAGTTCACGCACAGACAGCCCTCCCAGCTCTCTTGAGGGCCCAGTGGGGATGCATACACTGGCCTGCTGTGCCCAGGCCGATCCTTTCCCCATGGTCAGTCAGCCTGAGGGTGGAGATACGAGTCCTGGGCTCTATGGCTGTCCCCCACGGCTCTCCCCAGGCCCTGCCCACTTGGAGATGCTACGAAGGACACAGTCCCTGCCTTTTGGGGGCCCCAGCCAGAATGGCCTGCTCCAGGGTGATGTCCGAGAAGGCCTGCCATTTGGTACTGATGGGACAGGGAACATCCGAACAGGACCCTGGAAAAATGAAACTACAGTGTAACCAGGTTGGGAACACAAGTCCCTCACCATTGCCACCATGTGTCCCTGGAGGAGCTTCAAAGCAGAGAGTGGCACTCTGCTAGGTGAGGTTAGTGGGCTGGGAGGGTCATCAAATGACCAAGCGGTTCAGGAGTGGTTCACACCCCTCAGCCATGATCTGTTTTATTGTGACAGAACCCATCTGGAGAACACTGGGCCACAGCCACCTCCGCTGGCTCCAAGGTGGGAGGTGGCTCTCCATCAGCTTATCACCTGCTCTCTGTTCACAGCACCTTCCCTTCCTGCTGGGAGACCTCCGCAGAGACTCCACCTGATGTTCCCACCTTTGGTACATGTGTGTTAGGTTTTACTCTAGGGACCACAGCAGTGGTTCTCCAGAGCACACTCACACTGGGCAGTTTCCTGTCCCCTGCCATCCTAGTGTTACCTCACATCTGCATCTTCACCGGAACCACCTAACATTTCTGCCTGCCCACACCTGCACCCATATGGGACGTGGCCCTGGACTGATAGCCTGAGGGCATTCTGGGTGCTAAGAACGGGCCTGCTGTGGAGCTATGGGGGGAGGAAACAGCCAATGGCTGTGGCCTTCAGAGAGCTGGCCTCGGTCTCTCTGAGCCTATGCTTTTAAAAGATGCCCACTTTTTAATGGAGACCTAGCTTTGAAAGTCAGCAACCATCAGACTGGATTCTCTTCTAATGAGAACAAGTAGTAATCAAGTTGTCTGTCCCACAAGGAGGGGTCGACCGGGCTGTGATGGTCATCACAGACGAAAGCTGCCTTTCCGTTTTTGTCATTTTCATGAACATTTTGGGTACAAAGCCCCACCTTAAAGAATAGACATCAACAATGATCCTTTTGTAAAATCAGATGTCTCGTCCTAGGGGAGGCCTTTACAGAGGTGAGAGCTCATATGTCCAGAGATACCAACCTATGAGACTGTCCACCTTTCCTTTCTATCTTTCTCTTCCCAATTTGTGATCCATATGATACACATACACACACACATACACACATGCATACACACAGCACATATGCACACACATATGTACACTACATGTGTGTAAACACACACGCTTATACACATTTACAGTTACACAATGCACACCACAGACATGTGCATCCACACACCTGCTCATCACATACATGCACGTGCACATGCCGGCATACCACCACACACATGCATACATACTCAATGCCCACATATAGACATACTGGTGTTCATATGCACCCACAAATAATTAGTGCGCTTCATAGCCCTGAGCCCTGGGTTCCTTTACAGATGTAAATGAGTCTCTGTGATTTGTATCACAGAGCATAGCCTTGCTGACAACCTCCTCAGAGAACAGGGCCCGGGTAAGTTCCTAGAGCATTGGAGGCAGCACATTCTGCACCTGTGGGCAGTGCCACCTAGAGGCAGACACTCAGTATCTGAGTAAGGAGACTGGCAGACAGATAGGACATTTACAAGCTCCTCTGTGCAAACATTCTGCACCCATCCTTCAGGTGGGGAGCCGGGGACCACCAGGCTGTTTCAGCTCCTTTCACTCCCGGGCTTCTTCACCTGCGCCTATAGCTGAAGCGTGCAGAACCCACCAGGCTGTGTGTGCACTGTAGATTCAGACCATCCAGAGGAAAATACAGCGTTTTACATTGTTTGTCCTTGGTCAGGCTGGTCAATAGCCTTCGTGTGTGTTTCTCAGTCTTAACAGGGATGAACAGCGCGGGGGAGGCTGGGATGCCATCCAGGCTGCTCCCCTGGGCTTGCCCCTCACATTTTTTTCTTCCATGTTCTGGGAGAACAGAGACACCTCTTCATTCAAGCAAAGAAATTCAGCATTAAATATTGAACCTTACTCTGCTTCAACATTGACATAGAGTCATGAGTCCACTTGGACCAACGCTGCAGCAGACTCCAGTTATGTCCTGCTGGGGGAGTGTAGTGATTTGTAGCGTTGCTGCTGCCTCTTGGAGCCCTCGACTCCTCAGCAACCTCACTTGTCTATGCCAGCCTCGCCGGCTTCCTCTGCCATGACCCTTCCCTCTTTCATAAGAATGCACATGGCCGACGTGTAGGTGGCTGTGCTGTGAGTGTGCACGTTAGTGTGTGGATGCACATCTGTGTGTGGAGTGTGTGGGTTGTGAGTGGGTGTTTGTCAGAGTCATGCCGCATGTCCATCTGTATCAAGTGTGCATGTGTGTATCTGCCCGTGCGCTCTTCACAAAGGTAGCATGAGACACCCCTCACCCCTCACCCTGGCCCCCTGCACTGCTAAGTATTTCAAAAGGTTAAAAGCTCGGCACTCAGAGATGTTAACACAACTTCAATCACCTCTGCGGTGATTCTAGCTACGGAGGCTCTGCATGCCTGGAGACCAGCAGTGCCGCTGTGTCTCCCAGGGGTGTACTCCACAGCCAGACAATCTCACATCTGCCTAGGCAGATCGAGGACACCTCTCAGATCTAGGAATGAGTCACCTCTGCGGGGGCTTTGGACACCTGAGAGGTCTCTTAAGCTACCAGAAAGAAGATGAGATGATATCCACCTTCCAGCTGCCTAAAACAAGCAGACGAGACTGAAACATGGGGAAACAAGGAAGACTCTGGACCCTGTCTTCAAAGGAAAGTCAGCTCAGAGGATACGATGTCAGGGATGTGGAGTCTGGGAGCAGCCTTGGATGGGGACCTATGGATGAATTCTTCTGCAGAGCAGGTAGTCCCAGGTAGTGCCTGGGAAAGATGTTCCTAACATTGGCTGCACTATAGGCAATCTTCCAAGTCCTATCCCCTGTCCCCTGACTCTCAGTGTTTCTGGGTAGGCTCTGAGATCCTCAGAGCCCTCTGCAAGGACCACAGCCCTCAGGGAAGCTCCCCGCCCCCAATTACACTTACTCCTCCATGGCATTGTTAGAATTTGCATTTGAGGTCAGCGGCGTGGGAAACACCTTCACTGTGTGATTTGCAATCCAACAAAATGTCACCTGTTATTATTACAACTGGGACCAAAGACCGAAGCCGATAAAGCTGTGTATTTGGAATCCTGTGAGCACAATGGAGCCCAGCTGTGCATCCACAGCACAGGGCATGCCCAGGAAGGTAGAAACAGAGGCGAGAGAGAGAGAGAAGAGACAGAGACAGGAGCAACACTAAACACATAGCTTAGGCAGAGGCTGGCCCCAGTGAAGCTTCTGCGATAGAAGACAAAAAAACCAAGTGAATGAGTGATCACCTGTGTGCTACAGTGAGCCAAGAGGATGGATAGAATAGGAAGGTCCTGAGATCCAGGCAACAGAGAGAAGTAAATCCCCGGGGCCACCACTAGTAAATGATGTTTTCCCAGTGGGTCAGTGAGGCTCCAGTGAGAGCCATTCTTCATCCCATGCCTCTTTGGCTTGGCTTCTGTCGTCCCAGATAGGGGGGTTAAACAGAGTTGGCACCCAGACAGCCAATTCCCACAACTCTGGGATTACTGTCCAGGCCTCCTGTGGCTGCCCACCACACTCTTTCCACTCAAAGGCCCAGAGGGGCACTGGACACCTCCATCCTGCGGCATCCCAGCAGATCATGTGGAACCATGGGCCCCTGGTTCACTACTCACCCACTACTGATATGGGTGCTTAAAGCAATGACATTAAGTTCCTTCTAAACCTGGCCTACATAATTTGATGCTGCATAAATATCAACACAGCTGTGACACCACATTCTTGTCCCCACAATTCAAACTCCAGTCATAACCAGTCACGGCCCCTTTGGTTTGGGGTGGGGAGCAGGGTCACTGCAGTCAGGCCTGTGAATAAGTCCCCATGGCTGCTCCAACAAGACAGTGATTTGTAAGGCAGCTGATTGAGAGAGCAAAGGCTTGGTTTGACATGCAGTTTGGAGGATCTGATTCGGAACCGAGAGACCATGGCTTTGGATCCTTGTGGGGGGAGTGGGGTGTAACCAGACAGCATCAACAGACATGTTGGGGAACACGTGGAAAAGCAAACCGTACAGATCACACAAAGAAGAAAGACCAGAACCCCACAATCCCTCTTAAAAGCCTGTCCAATGACTTAAGGGCTTCTCATCCCACAAGGACCCCCTCCTCAAGGTGCTAGCCGCCCCCCAAGAGCACCACCTGGGGAAACAAGCCTTTGACACGTGGGCTTTTAAGCATACCTATCCAGACCACAGCAAGGACACAGCAGCAGGACACCCGGAAGGCAGGCCCTTCCCTGATGGTAGATGTCCTTGTCCTGTCCTCAGACCAGATCCACCTGTGGGGGAGGGGAGACATGAGCTGACTCACCAGGGAAAGCGGGAGGAGTCCTCACGCCTGTGTCTCCATTTAGAGAGGACTCCTGGCCCTGTCCCAGGAACATAGCCCTGTGTACCAAGACTCCCAGAAAGAGAGGCAGTCTAGTGGGTTGTTGTGGGAAGGTGTTCAGAGAGGATGCCAGCAGGACAAGGGACGTGGCCTGAACATGGTAGGGTGAGTGTCACTATCAGAATTCACCTTTCTAGTACCCCGGGGTGGTGAGTGTTCCCCACTCGTGCACACGGGAAAGCCCCTAAGTGCTATTGGATAATGTATTGTGAGAAAGAGTGGGTGCAGTCAAGGCCCCGGTGGAGCTGAGCCTGCAGTCTCTGAACCGTCATCATCTTCATCACCATGGAGGTGTCTTGGGAGAGGACCTAGGACAGAGGTTATTGCAGGTAGGTGGCCCAGGATGGGAGACAGATGAGGGAGAGGGCTTCTAGACAAGGACATAATACCGTTACGGTTTGGGTGATTCAATTATGCAGGGCCAGTAACCTGCATCAGGTGGTCAGTGTCACTTAACCACAGCCTGGGAGGAAAGATGGTGGTCAGGTAAGACAATGATGGAAAGAAACAATTCAACTCTGAACACTCAGAGCGAGGGAAAGTGAGGCTCAAGAGCAGGTGCCAGAAGCAGCAGAATGTGCCCTCCACGCTAGCCACCAGGATTAGACGTGGAGAGGCTCAAACTTAACCAAGTCAACACTTCCTCCAGCAAGGTCGATAGAAATTGGGTTCTGTGGCAGGGGTGTCCTAGCGACCTGAGTCATTTGGTGGCACATGACCGCAGGTGCCCTCAGCAGTTCCCCTGTGCTGGGCGGAGACATAGGCTGCACAGACGAGACTAAGCAGAGAAACCCTCTTGAGGGCAGGTGAAGCCAGCAAAGACAGGTAGCCAAACTCACCCATCTTCTGCTCTCACTGCCCCCACTCGCACTCCACACCCCTCTGCCTAGGAGCATCAGCTCCATCCCCACTCACTGTTCCCCAGAGGGGATGGGAAACAAAAAGCTTCTGTATAGAGGAGAAGAAGGTGCAGGGGGTGGGGAGGAATGAGCAAAGGACCACACCTTTGCTCAGGCATTCAGAGTCAGTCTTCAAAACCTACCTGAGACACTGGGGGGGGGGGGTCACCACAGGACTATGGGTACGTCTTGGTCTAATGATCTCCGTGGAAGCAGAACCGAGACAATGAGTAATTTCTGAGACCCCAGCCTCAGGCGTGCTCAGAATGTCTGGTCTCATAATGACACCTAAGCCTCTAGGCTGCTGAATCCACCCCTCTCCACTGCTGCACCGGGTAACAGGCCATTCACCCCACATGTCCTCAGACACAGCATCTGCACGGCAGAGACATACACATACACACAGATACATGGAGAGAGAGAGAGGTGGAGGAGGGAGCAGTCAGACTCCACTGAAATGCTTTGGATCCTACATGAAGCTGGTCATTTGGACACTAACTGATACAATGTACTGGGAGAGACTGGGCGACTGTGTGAATGTCGTGTGGCCACCCCAGTTTTAGAAAGCAAGGAGCTGGTAAAGGCTAAGGTGTCACCTGGGGGTACCACTGAGAAAACTGTGCACCCTGGAGTCCCAGCTTTGCCTGGAAAGACAGATGATGTGTTGGGATTCACCCATATTTATCACTCAGAGGGAGCCCAGGACAACCTAGCCATGAATTTCTCACCAGAAGGCCAGGGTGACACCCGAAAAAACCACAGAGTCAGAGAATGACTCTAACCCCAACTTGTAGGCACTTTGGGCTAGCTGTCAGAGACTGTCCTTGTGGCAAAAAGAATCAACTGAGACATAGGCCTTAGGGGGAGATGGCACGTCCCTGTGCCTCTGGCCAGCTGGGACAAGCATGCATTGTTCCGTCTGGTCTTCTTCAAGCCTGGTCCGAGAGCTACCCACAGTGACAACTGGGGACATCTACAGAGGACAATGTCAGCTTGAGTGGGGAAAAGGACTGAGTCATGCTTTTCCAGAGTATAGTTTAGTCTCTCCAGTGTTCAGTGGAAGCCCCAGGATTGGTCAGGGTGGCACCAGACTGTTAAGCATCCGTAGTCCAGGATAAATGTATTCATGACTAGAATACATATTTAATATAGATGGTGAAAATGCTGCATGCAGCTGAAGTGTAGAAATGACCATGCAGAGTCATACTTAGTTCTTTATCAATATCTACATACCTTGTTGTATTATATTGCTGAGAAGAAACAACATGACCATAGCAATTCTAATAACAGAAAGCATTTAATTGGGGCTGACTTACAGTTTCAGAGGCTTAGTCCAGTATCATCGATGCAGGAAGCATGGTGGCATGCAGACAGGCCTGGTCCTGAAGAA